AGAATGATCACGCCTGAGCTACAGGGGGAAATAGTTGCACCTGGTGACTATCTCTTAAAGGCAGAGCTATTTTTCTAGAAAAAGAGGTACTGGAACTCACCATGAACGCCTCCCCTGTTCTCTTATCACGACAATGGCACCCACCTGAGAGATGCTGGAACTGAGTTGTGGTGAATTATGGCTAAAAAAAGAGGCCTTCTTAAAGGTATACAAGGAGGACAATGAGAAATTAGCAATACAAAAGCCAGCAGAAGACAGAGAAGGAAGAGTTGGTAAACATTTCATTAAGAAGAAAAGTCCTAATTAATATTGTTGAGAAATAATAATAATTGGTTTGTTTCCTTTGACTACTTTCCATAATAAACTGCTATAAGCCAAGAAGGCACTAGGGGGCGTGCGTATGGCAAGAGACTTTTATTTGAGTTTGGAAGATGCATTGGAAGCAAATTTGTGCTAGGGAGATGGGTTTTAAGGCTCACACTCTAGTCTGCTGTTTGTTTTTAAACAATTGTTTTATTCATTGTTTGAACTGCAGTTTCAAACTGCACTTTTCTCTGTACTTACCCTGCTTTTCCTCTTTTTCTTACACATACATAAAAATAATTCCAAGCCACCCTTCATCCAAAAGAATGGATTCCAGGGCAATGCGCTAAGAAATTTAAAATGAAAGAATTGCAATAAGATTAAGAGGGATAAAAAGTATCCAGCCAGCTAAAAATACAGCAATATGAAATGCATAAGGGATGGGAAGGCATTTTATCCCATTGTTGAAAAGAATGCAGGGTCAGAGCCAAGCAAACCTCCCTTGAGAGGGCATTCCAGAGTCGGGGTGCCACCACAGACAAGGCCCTCCATTTTATATATGCACATTGTCCTTCTGCTAGAGAAGAGAAAGGCCTCCTGACAATCTTAGCATGCAGGCAGTTTAGTGCACGAGGTGTTATGTTCTGGTCCAATGCTGGATGCCATAGAAACAGGGTTCTTTGTTTCTTTTCCTTTTGTTTGCTTTTCTTTAATACAGTCATACCTCATGATACGTCCGCTTCATGTTACGTTCTTTCAGGTTCCATCCCGTGGCGACCTGGAAGTACCGGAAAGGGTTACTTCCGGGTTTTGCCACTCGTGCATGCGCAGAAGCGCAAAAATGACATCACGCGCATGCGCAGAAGCAGCGAATTGCAATCCGTGCGTGCGCAGATGCGCCGCTGTGGGTTGTGTTTCTTTCGTGTTGCGAACAGGCCTCCAGAACGGATCCCGTTCGCAACCAGAGGTACCACTGTACATCTGTAAGTTTAAAAATCAGTTAAAAATAGCCTGCAGATTTATCCATCTTTATTTTTTGTAACGAACTGTGTATTCTGTGGGACAACTGGCCTCAGATAACCAACATGCTTAAGCCTAATTAATGCATTAAGGGGTTAATGCCATAGAGTAAGCTGTCCTATCAGGCTTAGCTCACCTTGGGAGGAACTAGGTAACCAAGCCTTTGTTCACAGTCTACCTGTGTAACTCAATGTGGCTCTCATCGGCCATTCTTGAGTTCATATACCAATAATTTAGGAACTTTCATCACATTGGAACTAGACTAAATTTTACTCCCTGTGCAACCTTTCTGACTGATGTGTGGGAAAGCACATGTCTCTGACCTTTAGAGTGTTTGTAAGTAAACTATTTTTAACTTACTAAATGTGTGGTCTTTTCCTATCCTGGGGGAAGAGGGGACTATTTTGGAATGATATAATTTAAAGGTTTAACAGCCTAGATTTCCATACTTTGCTTTGCTGCATATTTTGTGATGACAGATCTCTGGTAAGGTTCTCTTACCAAAGGTTACTTGCCCTTGAATCCTGGCATCCAGGGAATTTGCCTTTCTATATTTTTTTCCTTAAACCAACACATTATCTGATTCTTTAAAAAACAGCTTCCCTGTGACAGCCTGTGGCGTTTGCCCTCCTAGGTGTGTGACATCGTACTGGGTTCGTAGGGAAAGGGTTAACTAATTGTAAAATGACTAACCAATGGGAACCCAGGGGGCAGAGTTAACTGTGTATAAGGTTTAAGCACAGAGGGGTTTTTTTAGAGAGTTAGAGTTGTTGAGAAGACAGTCTGGAGTTAGCGACAGATAAGAAAAGTCTGTGGGTTGGGCTAGTCTGGTGGAAGAGAGTGAGAGAATTTGTTAAGAGGAGTCAGTCAAACAGTTGAGATAATCAGTCAGAAGGTATTAGGAAGGTATGAGGAGTCTTTATAGGAGTATATTGTATTTTAAAATGGGGTTTCAGAGTTTTTAGGGGTTTTTGAATGTCTTATGTAGATTTTTCAATTTCATTGTTCTGTATGGGACAATGACAATAAAGATATCGTATCGTATCGTATCGTATCGTATAGGTAAAGAAACTAATGTTAAGATACTGACAGGAATATTATCTGAGAAACCATCAACTTGTTAATGTTTGTAAAATAAACTTGTTTTTTTGGTTCACTCTTAACAACTGACTGGACTCAGTGTTTTACTAGAGAGTATCTGGTTGGTAGCAGCGGGGAAGCGAGCACAGTGGTGGCACAGGGATCAATATACCATTAAACATCCGGGGACCCTGTGTGATCGCCACACAGCCCTTCAGATATTTGAAGATGGCCTATCTCCTCTCATCTCCTCTTTTCCAGGTTAAACATACCCAGCTCCTTCAACCACTCTTCATAAGGCTTGGTTTCCAGACCCTTGATCTTCTTGGTTGCCCTCCTCTGCACACGTTCCAGCTTGTCAACATCCTTCTTAAATTGTGGTGCCCAGAATTGGAAACAGTATTCCAAGTGTGGTCTGGTGGGTGTGAATAGCTTCTGGGATCTTCAAAGTCTTTGATCGGCAGCTAAAGCAGGCATTACCACCAAAATGTGTATACCTTTGTAAAACTGTGTATCCCAGTCTATAAGTTACTAGACTTGGCGCCAAAGCTCGATTTCCCTGCATCTTGTCTCATTTAACATCTAGATTACAGTATGGCTCATCACAGGCAACTAAAACAGATTGCTTCTCTGCACCATAAAACTGGAAATGAAAGACGATGCCTTCGTTGTTTTAAAGTTCAGCTCTTGGCCTTCCGAATGGTGCCAAGTGTTAGTCATGTTTGAAGCGATTGCTTTTATGTGTCGATAATTCTGGAAGAACGGTGAATCGTCTGCTTCTTGGAAAGCAAGTCTAACATCTGCCAGAGGCTTTGATGATTTACGACACACTGGGAAAGGGGTGAGTCTCTCTGAGACGCTTTCTCCAGACCCCAGTGCCCTGGTTTTTCTGCTCCTGCTATGCAGTTTGCAAACCAGCAGTTTCCTTGCTGCCAGAGGTGGGGCCCCAGCAGAAGACCTTTTGCTCAGAGCCCCCTCAGACCTGGAACCGCCCCTGTAGATTTAAATGTCTGGTTGAATTTTTTTAATTTTTATTTTAAACATGGTCAGTGTCTGTTTGAAAGGAACAGGGAATCTCCACAAGGGGAACACCCAAAAGCCTACGCGCCCTGCCTACTCTGGACCTCCCTTCTTCTTCCAACAGGCTTTTGGGAATTGACTGTTTTTCATGAAATAGCTCAGGCTATGCTGGTTTTATTGTAATCAGTTGCATGTTTTAAACAGGCTTTTTGGTGTACAGTCGTACCTTGGAAGTCGAACAGCTTGGTTCCCAAACCTGGAAGTGACTGCAGGAGCTTCCTGCAGCCAATTAGAAGCTGTGTTTTGGTTTTCGAACGTTTTGGAAGTTGAACGGACTTCCGGAACAGATTCCGTTAGACTTCCAAGGTACGACTCTATATCGTTTTAATTCTATTAATTTTTGGTTGTTTTTCCTAATGATTGTGGTTTTTTTCTATGTTTTTAGAGATTTGTGTTTTTATCTGTAGGCTGCCTTGAGTCCCATAAAAGAAAAAGGTGGGACATAAATTATTATTATTATTAATAATAATAATACCCACATAATCATCCCTATCTACATTTTAGGTTGTGAACCACCCTGAGATCTGCAGATGAAAGGAAGTATACTACTACTACTACTACTACTACTAATAATAATAATAATAATACATGACATATGGGCTCCATGATCACTGCAGATGGTGACAGCAGCCGCGAAATTAAAAGACGCCTGCTTCTTGGGAGAAAGCAATGACAAACCTAAACAGCATCTTAAAAAGCAGAGACATCACCTTGCCAACAAAGGTCCGTATAGTTAAAGCTATGGTTTTCCCAGTATGTATGGAAGTGAGAGCTGGACCATAAAGAAGGCTGATCGCCAAAGAATTGATGCTTTTGAATTATGGTGCTGGAGGAGACTCTTGAGAGTCCCATGGACTGCAAGAAGATCAAACCTCTCCATTCTGAAGGAAATCAGTCCTGAGTGCTCACTGGAAGCTGAGGCTCCAATACTTTGGCCACCTCATGAGAAGAGAAGACTCCCTGGAAAAGACCCTGATGTTGGGGAAATTGAGGGCACAAGGAGAAGGGGACGACAGAGGATGAGATGGTTGGGCAGTGTTCTCGAAGCTACTAACGTGAGTTTGACCAAACTGCGGGAGGCAGTGGAAGACAGGAGTGCCTGGCGTGCTCTGGTCCATGGGGTCACAAAGAGTCGGTCACGACTAAACGACTAAACAACAACAACATCAGGGATAGGAAACTTGTGGGCCTTCGAGATGTTGCTGGACTCCAGCTCCAATCAGCCCTAGCCACAGCTTCCCCAGGGAAGTGAATGTAAAAGGAGGGATTGAAGAAAATGGCATGTTTTCTGTGGTGGTGGCAGACAAAAGTTGGAAGTTAAGTGTGAAGGGGAGAAGAAATTACAGAAGATGAGTAAAATCTCCAGGTAGGGCTAGCAGCCTGACATCTTGAAGATCTGTTGCTTAGCTTCCCCGCTCCCTGTGGGATTAGATGTCATCAAATATTTTGAGAAGAAGTTGGAAGTTTCCATTTTGGAGAATCCAATGCATGGAGAGCTGAGGTAAACGCAAACCCACGTTTTACATGTCTCCCAGTGGTGCAGTGGGTCTGGCTGTTAACCAGAAGGTTGCTGGTTCAAGCCCACCCAGGAACAGCTGTGGGCAGGATTCTGGCATCGCAGGGGGTTGGACTAGATGATTCTCAGGGTCCCTTTCAATTCTGAAATTCTATGATCAAGCTTTTCCATCAAGACTCCTCCAGGACCGGCCCTGTCATTAGGCAAACTGAGGCAGGCACCTCCAGCAACTGGTTTTGGGTGCCTTGAAAGGGCAGAAAATGATGAGTTCTTTAATTTGTTATTGTTTGGTTGTATTGTTAGTTCTTTAGATCTTTAGATTATTATGATTATTTTTACTGCCAGGGAGGAAGAGAGGTACTTATGGCATTTTCTGCATTTGGTCAAAATAAATTGGGCAGCTTTGTATGACGGTACAGTGTGTCTTGGCTTCTTGCAAGGGGTGTGTTTGTGGGGGGTACGCAGTGCCCTTTGCTCTTCCGCCTCAGGCAGCAACATGTCTTGGACCAGTTCTGCAGCCTTAGTGAGCTAGCAGATAAAAGAAGAAGGAGAAATCAAGTTATTCAGGTTCATGCTGAGCTCCATCTTCTCTCTAATATGGGGGCGGCAGAGGGGGATCACTGACTGAAGTTTCAGCAAACTAACTCCCTAAAGAAATTACCACAAAATATATAATCATCTTTTGCTCGGGGCTGATTTTTTTATATATACTGTATAAAGAAAACAAACTTGCACTCTTGCAGGGATAAGTACCATGTTGGTCCAGGTGCAATGCAACTTTCTTCCATTCAAAAGCAGTAATAATGATTTATATAGCCTGGTAGCTGGTCTTAAATCACAAATAATTTCCAATTTCATTGCAGAAAATGGGTTTCGGAGGTGGGAGGGGAGGGGACAGAAGTGCAGAGGACTGATGGCAACACTGCAAAATCGCGAAGCTACTGAACTCTAACTTGTTCATTTTTATTTGTTTAAGAAAATCACCCTTCTCTCTCTCTCTCTCTTTCTTTCTTTCTTTCTCTCTCTCCCCACCCAAGGGAATAATGACTGTGATTCACTTCTGCTTTTAGAAAGAATCTTAACAGTCCAGAATAATTGCAGCAAACCTGCTTATTATCATCCCTAACTGTGTTTATCAGCCTTGCAATTAGATTGGACAAGTGGGACCTGCTGCAGCAAAATGTTGCAGCGTATCATCGCTTCCTAGCTGGAGTGTGCCTACTTGGGTTCCAGCCAGTCAGCTCTGCCCTCCTTCAGGATATTATAAATTATACGGAGATCAAACTCTGTACAGCATTCCCCTCCTTGCACATTTTCCGCTCCCTGCTTCCAAAGTTACATTCAGCATTCCAGGGCATACCCAGGGTGGATCCACACACAGGAAAAAATGCTATAAATAAGTCGTAAATTAAATCGTTATAATGAAAGGGGGGGGAATTGCTATGTAAAATCGCATATAAAAGTTCTGTGCTCTACAGCGCCATCTAGTAAATAAATAAAAATACTTAACTAAAAGTAGAAATAACCAGAATAATTGGCAGGGGAGCTATGAATGTGTACAGAAAAACTGCATTTGGAAAAAGGAGGAATTTGAGAAGAAAGGTTTTCAGCAAATTCAAGAAAACTTGTTTGAGTTTAGATTTCTTAAAACTAAGATGAAAAAGGCGTGTTATTTGTAATTTTGCAAAATAGACTCACTGACTGCCTGAAAGGTACTCCCTGATGTTAATTTTTTATATATATTTAACTTCCTAGTTTTCAAATGACTGCAGATTTTTCCGAGCGCTTGGGGTCAAAAGAAAGGTCTGTATTTAACTCAAATCTAATGCTCCCCTGTTTCGGCCAAATAACATTCCAAAAATTGCGGCATGCATTAGCTTTGATGGCACATTTACATTCGCCAGCAAATACTGTACTTCTTTTGGTTTCAAGGTCCTGAAAATTGAGGTGCATGTTAGATTTGATGGCACGTTAGACTCGAGTAAATACGGTAATTTAAAACAACTGTTGTTGCGACATTTCATTCTAAACCTGCTAGGCAGAGCCAGGCAGACGAATATCAAGGATGAATATCCATGTGTATCCTGGACCCCTCAGTGTGCTAGAGACCTCTGAATATGTGAGCACAGCTTGGAGACGCCACCCCTAGGGGGTGCTGGAGCCCTGCTTCATCTATTCAGAGGCCTCCAGCATGGCAAAGAGGTCCGTGAGGATAATAATAATAATAATAATAATAATAATAATAATAATAATTTATTATTTGTACCCTGCCCATCTGGCTGAGTTTCCCCAGCCACTCTGGGCAGCTTCCAATAAAGATTAAAAATACATTAAAATGTCACACACTAAAAACTTCCCTGAACAGGGCTGCCTTCAGATGTCTTCTAAATGTCAGGTGGTTGTTTTTCTCTTTGATATCTGGTGGGAGGGCGTTCCACAGGGCGGGTGCCACTACCGAGAAGGCCCTCTGCCTGGTTCCCTGTAGCTTTGCTTCTCGCAGTGAGGGAACTGCCAGAAGGTCCTTGGCGTTGGACCTCAGTGTCTGGGCAGAACGATGGGGGTGGAGACGCTCCTTCAGGTATACTGGGCCGAGGCCGTTTAGGGTTTTAAAGGTCAGCATTGATACTTTGAATTGTGCTCGGAAACATACTGGGAGCCAGTGTAGGTCTTTCAAGAATGGTTTTATGTGGTCTCAGTGGCCGCTCCCAGTCACCACTCTAGCTGCCGCATTCTGGATTAGTTGTAGTTTCCGGGTCACCTTCAAAGGTAGCCCCACGTAGAGTGCATTGCAGTAGTCCAAGTGAGAGATAACCAGAGCATGCACCACTCTGGCGAGACTGTCTGCGGGCAGGTAGGGTCTCAACCTGCGTACCAGATGGAGTAAACAGCTGCCCTGGACACAGAATTAACCTGTGCCTCCATGGACAGCTATGAGTCCAAAATGACTCCCAGGCTGCACACCTGGTCCTTCAGGGGCACAGTTACCTCATTCAGGACCAGGGAGACCTCCATACCTGCCCTCCTCCTGTCCCCCAGAAACAGTACTTCTGTCTTGGCAGGATTCAAACTTGATGCCAAACCTTTGCTATGTTGGGGACGGAACCAATGATCCCTATCTTTTGGGGGGGAAATGCTTGTTTGACCTGGAGGTAGGCTGTATGAATTGTGCATTGCTTTGTAATTATTTTAGGGTCTCTGGACCATAATAAAAATTGATTGATTGATATTGGGGACCCGCAAGGAAGCCAGGCAGGCTTCATCGACCTAGGCTGTCCCCAGCCTGCACTCCTCGCATACTGGGAGCTGCCAGAATGCTTTAGGTCTGAAAAGCATTCCAGAAAGGCTTTCACCCCAACTGAACTTGGCCCCGGGAGCAGAGCTTTGCCACTTTTTAAAGAAATTGCAAGGCAGGCGTCAAGAGCTGGCATTCCTGGGCACCTGCTGAGGCCCGCAGACCTATTTCTCTGGAAAGGACTACGGTAAGAAAGGAAAGTGAATCAAGCTCTACATGAAGGAGTGAGCCTCCTGCACGCACTGCGCAGGTTTTGTTAAGGCACAGAACCGTGGAATTGTAGAGTTGGAGGGGACGCTGAGGACCATCTGGTCCAACCCTCTGCAATGCAGGAATCTCAGCTAAAGCATCCATGACAAATGGCCATCCAACCTCTCCTTAAGAACCTCCAAGGAAGGAGAGTCTCAAAACATGTATTAGCAAAAAACCGGTCTGTAGGGGGAAACTATCAGTGCTCAAACGTCTTTTAAAGGGGGTGGTGGGAAACAGCTTGTTTTGGTCATAGTTGCATCTTGAATCTCAGGTAAATTTGAAGTGAAATTGACAGATTCATTTATCCCTAGGGCTGGCATTGGATAGAATTCAGAATAGAAGCCGCCCAGAGCGGCGGGGGCAATCCCATCTGGCTGGGTACAAATAATAATAATAATAATAATAATAGCAGAAAGTAAAGGCTATTGGGATAAGTTTATAGAAGCCAGAAAACATGTTTCACCAAGAACAATGCCCCCATTGCTCAAGCTGCATTGAACTAAGTAGCACCCCAATATTGCAATTAAACTTCGCAACTGTGAGGACCAGATACTTTGTTGTTTTTGCTTAAAACTTTTTTTCAGAAGCCAAGTTCTGTTCTGGTACTCATGTCCCACAGAGTAGCTGAAATATAAGGCATTTTCACTGCCTTGCATTTCGGTTATCTGCATGGAGCAGTCCCATACCCTCCAATATTTATCCAATGAAAATAGGGACATCCTATTCCATCATGCGGACACAAGTGGCGCTGTGGTCTAAACCACGGAGCCTTGGGCTTGCCGATCAGAAGGTTGGCTGTTCGAATCCCTGCGATGGGGCGAGCTCCCGTTGCTCGGTCCCTGCTCCTGCCAACCTAACCCGAAGTACAAAAGGAAGTACCTCAACATAGCATAATAGCTTATAGCTACTCAGTGGTATAATTTGCTGCCATGGGATGTGAGTGAAGACAACCAACACTAATAGCTGGTTGTGTACTACTTCCAGGATGGAAGGCTTCTGAATAGCCATTGCTAGGCAGAGACATCACCTTGCCAACAAAGGCCCGTATAGTTAAAGCGATGGTTTTCCCAGGAGTGATGTATGATTTATACGATCTGAAGAGAAACCAGAGTATTCCCCAGGAGTGATGTATAGAAGTGAGAGCTGGACCATGAAGAAGGCTGATCGTGAAGCTGAGGCTCCAATACCTTGGCCACCTCATGAGAAGAGAAGACTCCCTGGAAAAGACCCTGATGCTGTGAAAGATGGAGGGCACAAGGAGAAGGGGACGACAGAGGGCGAGATGGTTGGATAGTGTTCTTGAAGCTACCAGCATGAGTTTGACCAAACCGCGGGAGGCAGTGGAAGACAGGAGTGCTTGGTGTGCTCTGGTCCATGGGGTCACGAAGAGTCAGACATGACTAAATGACTAAACAACAACAACAACAGGCAAACTAAGGCCCGGGGGCCGGATCTGGCCAATTCGCCTTCTAAATCTGGCCCATGGACGGTCCAGGAATCAGAATGTTTTTACATGAGTAGAATGTGTGCTATTATTTAAAATGCATCTCTGGGTTATTTGTGGGGCATAGGAATTCGTTCATATTTTTTAAAAAAATATAGTCCGGCGCCCCACAAGTATTGGAGTCTCAGCTTCAGGATCTGCCCTTCCAGTGAGCACTCAGGGCTGATTTCCTTCAGAATGGATAGGTTTGATCTTCTTGCAGTCCATGGGACTCTCAAGAGTCTCCTCCAGCACCATAATTCAAAAGCATCAATTCTTCGACGATCAGCCTTCTTTATGGTCCAGCTCTCACTTCCCTACATCACTACTGGGAAAACCATAGCTTTTACTATACGGACCTTTGTTGGCAAAGTGATGTCTCTACTTTTTAAGTTGCTGTCTAGGTTTGTCATTGCTTTTCTCCCAAGAAGCAGGCGTGTTTTAATTTCATGGCTGCTGTCACCATCTGCAGTGATCATGAAGCCCAAGAAAGTAAAATCTCTCACTGCCTCCATTTCTTCCCCTTCTATTTGCCAGGAGGTGATGGGACTAGTTTGCCTACCCATTACCTAATCCAACTTCTTATGTGACTCCCCCCCCCTAAAAAATAGAGATGATTCCTGCGAAAGGCTTAAATGCTTGGGGATGCCGCTTCTATGCACTTCCTGCTCTTTGCTCCCTCATCGCTCCATAGAATTGTAGAGCTGGAAGGGACCCTGAGGATCATCTAGTCCAACCCCCAGCAATGCAGGAAAATGCAGCTGTCCCATATGGGGATTGAACTTGTGACCTCGGTGTGATCAGCACCATGCTCTAACCAACTGAGACAATCCAGACAAAAAGCCACACAAAAATCCCGCCAGAGTTCTACTATTCAACCCTTCAAAGGATGTGCAATTGCTATTGTCAGGGAACTGCCATCGGAAGGAAGGGAGGTGAAAGGGCTCACACAGGTTGGGAGAGACTCAGCAGCTGAAGAGGGAACCAGTAGGGGGAGAGGAGCTGAGCTGAGGGAAAGTGAGCTGGAGGGATGGCTCAGAGACACTTCCAGCGAAAACAGTGGGGAGGTTTCAGGACCTCCTGTAGGAACACCCACTCCTCGCCGGAAACTGTCACGCAGAGAGTCCAGAAGACGTGTTTCCGTTAAGGAGCTTTTATGTTGGAAGCGATTCAAAGCAACCACTGTCGGAATCTGCTAGTGACTAGAGGAGCCATGTCTGAGGGCTCCGTCACAGACAGAGGTTTGTGGACTTGAACAAACTCTGAGGGGATACGATTTTACGCACAAGCAGCTCATCATCCCATCACAGCATTCCGACAGTCTTTGAAAGCAGCTTGTGCAGGAGAAGGCATCATGAGCAACCCAGCCGGAACCGGAGAAGCAGGAGCTGGAGCGGGTCCAAGCCTGGAAGAAAGGTACCGGGTGTTGGAGGTCCAGCTAGCGCTGCAGACGGCGAGGCTTGAGGAGAGGAGGGCTCAGGATGCAGACAAAAGGGAAAGCCACCCAGCTCGCCAGAAAGGTACCAGGATTGGTGCAGAAGTTTGGGGAGCCCAAAGACTATCATGGCTTTCGGACAGAGATGCAATATGCCCTCAATCTGCAGTTTGATGAATTCCCTGACGAGGAATCACGAGTGGCTTTCGTGATTGGGCATCTTGAAAAAGGGGCGAGAGACTGGGTTAGACCCCTGATGGCAGCGAATAGTGACGTCCTAAAGGACACGATGAAGTTCTTTCGCGCCATGGATCTGATGTTTTCCAGCGATATTGAACAGGGAGTGGTGCGCAGACAGTTAATGGCTTGCAAACAGGGAGCCGATCTGTCCGTGAGTACTGGACTGAGTTCACCATGCTGGTTCACAGATTGGGGTGGGACTTATCGGCGGAACCCATTCAAATGCTCTTTGAAGAAGGGCTTTCTTCGGCTGTGAAAGACGAACTTTCCCGGGCGCCCAGGGCGGAGTCTATGGACCAGCTGACCAAATCAGCGCTGACCATAGGAGCGCGCCAGGAGGCGAGAGCATTGGAGAGGCGGGAAGGGAATGGGGAACGTTGGAAGGAGTTCCGCATTCCAGACATTCCAGAGCCAACTTTCCCGCCGGCAGAGCCGATGGAAATCGGAACAGCGCGCGTGCGCGCAGTTTCAAAGCCCAGTGAGGGGGGAAAGAAGGAGGGAAAAGGCGCCCGGAAATGCTATCTCTGCCAACAGCCAGGTCACTTTGCCAGAGGAAGGAATGGCAAGGGATGGTAGGAGCTGTGGAGGGAAGAGAGGAAGAAATACCGGAGCAAGTAAAGCCAACGCCTGGCTGCCACGGTCGGGGCACAGCAGCCAGGCCAAAGAGCAGTGAGAGTGCCCACGCCAGAACCTCCTAAACCCGCCCTAGTGATAGAAGTGGCGCTAGAGCTGCCAAACGGACACCCTCTAAAGATAAAGGCGCTGTTGGACTCAGGCAGCTCCTGCAATTTCATGAGCAAAGAGTTTGCAGCTGAACACCAGATACAGACGATCCTTTAAGCAGCCCCTGCAGGTGACCACGATCGATGGCAGGGAGCTGTTGGGAGGAGAAGTCAGCTTGCAGACCGTCCCAATGATAATGAAGGTGGCAAGGCACACCGAACTGATAGCGTTTAATGTGGCCACCTTGGGAGGAGCTCCCATTATATTGGGGATGAGCTGGCTAGCGTTACATGATCCGCTGGTGGGCTGGCATCAGAGAGTGGTTTCTTTTGGTTCAGCACATTGCTTAGAACACTGCAAAGAGGGAAAGGGTTTGGCAGGGGCCCAAGCCACCCTAGCAGGGACTGAAGTAACGGAGAACGTGAAGGTACCACGACAATACGCAGATCTCCGCGACGTCTTCAGCGAAAGGGAGCTGACCAACTACCCCCGCATAGACCCTTTGACTGTCAAATCAATTTACTCCCTGGGGCACAGCTCCCTGTAGGCAAGCTGTACGCCATGTCAGACAGAGAGATGCAGGAGCTAAGAGAGTTCATTGACAAGAACCTGAAGAGAGGGTTCATCAGAGAGTCCAGGGCGGTGGGGGCAGCCCAGTGTTTTTGTGGATAAAAAAACACGAACAAGCCGAGGCTGGTGTGTGACTTCAGGGCCTTAAATGCAGTGTCAGAACCAGTGGCCTTCCCTATGCCCAGGATTGACGACATTTTGACAAGGGTGCGGAAGGAAAGATTTTCACAAAGCTGGACCTAAGGGGGCGTACAACCTGATACTGAATAAGGAAGGGGGATGAATGGAAAACCACCATGTTCACCCCTTTAGGGGCATTTGAATATTTGGTTATGCCCTTCGGCCTACAAGCAGGCTCCGCATGCTTTCAATCGTTTATGAACCACGTCCTGGGGCCTTTGCTTTACAAGAATTGTGTGGCCTTCTTAGACGACGTGTTGGTGTATTCTGAGAATGAGGAGCAGCATGTGAGAGACGTCAGAGAAGTGTTGGAGCAGGCTGCCAGCCCCCCAGCTGTGGGTGAAACTGGAGAAGTGTCAGTTTCATACCAAGGAGGTGGAATTCCTGGGGTATCGCCTGTCAGACAAGGGATTGGCCATGGATCCCGGCAAGGTCCAGGCGGTGCTGGAATGGAAAACACCCAAAACAAGGAAGGATGTGCAGAGGTTCCTAGGATTTGGGAACTTCTATCGTAAGTTCATCCGAAACTTTGCCCACCTGACGGCGCCCATTACGGACTGTCTCAGCAGTAAGAAGAAGTTCGTTTGGACTGAGGAGGCGGAGCGAGCATTTGAGGAACTAAAAGGGCCTTCGCCTCGGAACAACAACTCCTGCATGTGGATTTACAAAAACCGATGAGAGTGGAAACTGACGCATCAGACAGAGCGATTGGGGCGGTGCTTCTGCAGCCAGGGAAGGAGGAGTCAGAGTGGAGACCGTGTGCTTTTTTCGCGAAAGCTGAACAAATCCGAGAGGAACTACACGGTGTATGACCGAGAACTACTAGCCATTCATGAGGCGTTCCGGAGATGGAGGCACCTGCTAATTGGCGCACAACATAAGGTGCAAGTGTGCACTGACCACAAGAACCTAGAGTATTGGAGGACGGCACGAGTGCACAACCAACGGCAAGTGAGTTGGGCCCCGGAATTCACCAATTTTAACTTTGATTTTTGTTACGTGCCAGGCCCAGAGAACATTAGGGCGGACGCTCTCTCACGCAAACCTGAATATTTGGAGGGGAGGAGCACCCGAAGAGAGACATGTCATTCCAGAGGACCGCTGGGTGTGTGGGGCGGCATTGGTGGGACAAAGAGAACTGGTAGAGGAAACAGAGAATGATGAATACGCCCAGAATAAGCTCAGAGGTCTTAGGGGTGAGGGAGAGGAACCAGGGGTTTCGAGGAAAGAAATGGAGCTTTGTATTACAAAGGGGCACTGTATATCCCTGAAGGAGACTTAAGGGGAGGGTACTCAAGCAGTTGCACGACAGCCCTACGGCGGGGCATTTTGGACAACACAAAACCATGTGGTTGGTCACCAGGGAATTTTGGTGGCCTAAGGTGAGGGAAGATGTACGTGAGTATGTAAGAGGGTGCGAGCAATGCCAGCGAGCCAAAGGGAAAGGCGGGCGCCGGCGGGGCTGTTAGAACCCTTACCAACCCCAGAACGACCTTGGGAGGCAGTGTCGATAGATTTTATGACTGATCTGCCGAAGTCCAAAGGGAAAACAGCCATCATGGTGGTGGTAGACCTACTAACAAAGATGTGCCACTTTGTAGCTTGCTCGCATGCAGTCACGGCGGAAGAGACAGCGAAGTTATTTGTAGAACACATTTTTAGGTTGCACGGGGTGCCATTGAGGGTGGTCTCAGACCGAGGAAAACAATTTACTTCCAGGTTCTGGAGGAAGCTCATGAGCTTACTGCAGGTGGAGGTCAATTTTCGACTGCCCGGCACCCTGAAACCAACGGGCAGGCGGAAAGAGCAAACGGTGTCCTCCAGCAATACCTGAGGTGTTATGTCAATGACAGAGAGAATGACTGGGTAGAAAAGTTGGCGCTGGCGGAATTTGCCTACAACAATGCCGAGAATGTGTCCACAGGGATGAGCCCCTTCTTGGCTAATTATGGGTGTCATCCCAGGGCTTTCCCAGGGGAGATGGGGAGAGATGGAGCGTCCCGGCAGCCGAGCATTTTGTGGAAGAAATGGAAGCAATCCATCGTCAGCTCCAACTCAACTTAGAAAGGGCGAAGGAAGAATACAAGAGGCAGGCAGACAAGAACCGAAGGGAAGGTGAAACCATAAGGGTGGGAGATAGGGTGTGGCTGTCAACCCAAGGGTTGCCGTTCAAAGGAGGTTGTAAGAAATTAAGACCCAGGAGGTTGGGTCCCTTTGAGGTCATTCAACAGGTCAACCCAGTGGCTTTCAGGCTCCGGTTACCCAACCACATGAAACTGCACCCAGTATTTCACAGGTCGTTACTGTCACCGTACGAAGGGGACGAGAAGGGATGGCCACTCGGGGACCGGTCATAGAAGAAAGAGAATGCAGCAGCCATGTGGCAGAAATCCTCGACGCCAGGTGGAAGGGGGATCAGGTGGAGTATTTGGTAGCGTGGGAAGGAGAACCGGAGTCAGAAAACACTTGGGTAATGGCCGAAGATATCAATGACGAGGTATTGATAGAAACGTTCCATCAAAGGTTCCCAAGGAAACCTCAGCCTGTGGAGAGGTTCCGGAGGGAATACTTTGGGACCACTGATGAGGAGGAGGAGTTGGAAGGATTCCCGGACTCGGAAGGGGAAGGGGAGATGGACTCTGAGGAGGAGGAGTACTTCGAGACCAGGAACCGCAACAGGTGGAGAGAA